AGGATCTGCATCTGAGCATTAAAATGGGAGTCATCCCGTTGATGTCTGGAAAGTCGCAGTATGATTGGGAACCGGCCGGACAATTGCTTTGTTTGTTTGCAAGCAACGTTTCTTTAACTATTTCTACAGGCCAGCGACTTGAGGACCGTGTGCCGGCTCTGTGCCTCGTTGGCAATTACGTTGTGTGCGTGGAGAAGGAAAGCAAGGGCATCGTTGCCGAACTGTTGGAGTGTCAGAAGGTCGTTAGATTTTCCCCCGTCACACTCATTCCATACAAACAGTATCCAAAAGTGCAACCACTAACCACTGGGCTTCACAGAGCCCTGCCTCGTCGCTCCTTGTATTTTGTCGAGGATAACCCGCAGCTGCCCAAGGCTCCACATGGTTTTACAATAGTTCCTTGGCGACTGTACGATTTTCAGCGAAAATATCCTTGGTTTTTTGAGCGAAGTGTTTTCAGTTCCTGCCTAGCTTTTGCCAATGGTAGCAGAGCTAACCTTTTGGTATCCTATTCACTGGCCACTCTGGACAGGAAATATGCGATTATTTTTCTGTTCACCGGTAATAGCCTCCTTAGATAGTTGTGATGAGAATAGCAGTTCCTCTTCGTCTGTTGATGTCTAAATATAGTTAGGGGATTCCCTTAAGCTCGAAAGTGGCTCGAAAACCACGAAACCTCGAAACTTTTCCAGCCTCGAAAAACAACTGTCAAAAATTGTATGAGTGGCGATTTTCGCGTGCCTCGAAAACTTTCGAGGCAAATTAGTCGCGAAAAAAGCCTCGAAAAGTCGTTCGTAAGTTTCAGTGTTGCCTTTATAATTGTTGACTGCGTTTTGATCAATAAATTCATACAATTTACATTTTTCACTTTTTCGTGGCATTTTCAATGCTGATTTTATATGTATTTATTTCAGCTGATGCGATGTATTATACAAAAAACTCTGAATGAGCTGTCAAACTTCGGAATTTCTCCATTGTTTACGAGGCAGAAAAAAGGTGCATTCCCAAAAACAGCCTCGAAAACTTTCGAGGTTTTCGAGTTTTCTGCTCTTCGCGTTTAAGGGAATCCCCTAAGTGTTAGTACATAGTCTAAGCTGGTCAGATTGTCTTGCAGCCCGTTTGGCTCAAAGTTCCTTTCGTTCGTTGCGCTGCCATAAAAATTGATTTCGGCGGTGCCTCCGCTGATTGACTTTGCGTCCATTCCTTCCAGATATCATTTGGTTTTTCCCTGTAGATCCGCCATATTCAGTAAAAGCAGGGATACCACTTGTAAGCTGTCACTCTTTGTCACTTACATATATTCGCTTTTACGCCAGCTATCAGTCACGTCTAACACCAAATATTTTTACCACCAGTTTACGGAGCAAAAAAAAAACAAATTATTTAGTCTTCCACTATTTTAATCAATTCGTTGCTATTTTAATCAATTTACGTAATTTTTTTCGTAAGGAGGATGATCTACCTTAATGTACACATGTACGCGTTAATTATTTAAGTGAAATGACCCATCGTACATATTTCATTAATCCGCATAATACCGACTGTGGCAAAATATTGTATGCACCGCGTCTGCCACGCCACAATACTCCTGAATCCTTTTTCTTCTCCCAACCGCTCAGTGGGTTGTACGTGTGGTATGAGTGATTGGCAGTGTCGTCGGTGCACCGAAATATTGCGCACAAATGTAATTCAGGTTATTTAGCACAGCCACTTGGCATTGTTTGGGTAGACTGTATCCGTTGCTCACTTCATCCTTCTACAACAGCTACTTTTGCACACAAAACAAAGAAAGAAAACCATTTAATGTTACCTTAATGCTACTATGTTGCCCATATTGTATTCTACATTATGCACAGTACCTTATTATCCTTGAAAGGATAACTAAAACTGCATGTATGCATGCTACAAATATGCATGCACTGTAACCGCTGCATGGCTGCAGTTGCAGCTGTAACTTTCTCAACGCCATATCTACATACATACATACCTAAGCGTACAGAAAGGCATGCAATCATGCGCACACGGCCTACATTTCAAGGTTATATAGTATAGTACAATACCTGCTGTGTTGGCGTCGTCGCTGCGACGTCGATTTAATTGTCTGTAGCCAACACCTCCCGCTAAGCTAAGCGCTGACTGCTGAGGGCACTCGGCTGCTAGGCTGGATTCCCTGCCTGCACTTGGCACACTTATTCGGATTTTTTTTCTATTTGCATATTTTCTTCTTGCAAAAGACGTAGTAGATTCATTAGGCACTGGACAACCTGTCACGATGGCGTACGGCAAAGTCGCTTGACCCTCATGCACTTGGTTTTATGTACGTACCTACGTAAACGTGTAAATATATATACATACATATGTATGAAATAAATTTATTTATTCATATTTTTCTGATTTTCTGCCATTAAACCACACGAGAGCGCAGCAACGGGCAGATTCTTGTATATGTGTGTGCGTGTAGGTGTTGACATGCAAATGAAGCGAATTAGATTTGTGGTCTCTGCTACACTGAAAGTCCACCAGCACGCATGCAGGTATGTATGTAGTATGCAGGTATGTATAGTCATGTGAAAAATAATAGCGAAACGTCAGTTATACCAGTTTTGGCTATTTTACAAGCCTTTATTTCTAAGTATTTTTTTTATAAAAATACAACTCATTATTTAGCAAAAACCATATATGGGCGATTCCAGCGAAAAGTCTACCGCGTAAAAAAAAATAAAAGTCCTATATCTAACTTATTTACAGGCCGATATGCTGCTTTTTATAATATATACATTATTGCCAAAAATGGTCTCGTCAGGTGGCGCCAGGTTCGAGGTATTTTGAAAAACCGTATTTATGCTCTGCTTTGCTTCACATTTGACATATTTAATTGGAACGTAGTAGGACATAGATTTGCAAAAATGAAACCGCTGGTGGCGCTGATGTCTTTTATAGCGTATTAAATTCTAGCTTAAGAATGTGCAAGAAGTTTCAAGTAAAAGTTTGTTGTTACTGTAATTTTTTTTGGAATTTTTCCAATTTTTCTACAAAAGTTAGAAAATTGTACATACATATATGCTTTTTGTTAGACAATGAGCTGTATTTGTATAATAAACATTAAACAAACAAAAGAAAAAAACCAAAACTGGTCAAAATATCGTGCCGCTATTATTTTTCACATGGCTGTGAGTATGCATACTCTCCAGGTTTGCGTTGGACAATTTAAAAAGAACGCAATGCTCTGCTTCATACGCCTTGGCCAACTTACCACGCTTCACACATACTAAATACACACAGGCCGCGACAAAACGATAGCACGTCAACAAACAGGTTTGACTATTTATCTTTTGTTTGTTTAATGTCCATTATTTTTAAATAAAATTATATGTAGCTCTTTATCTAACAAATGTCATATAAATCCAAGTTTCAGATTTCATCCCAATTCCAAGCATTTTAATTTTAATTTCTAGAATAATTTTTGGTATGCAGATTTATTGCTTATTAAATTCTAGTACAATAAAGTACAAGTTTGATTTGCTAAAAATCGCGTTGATTTTCACGTATTTTCTTCCATACAAAGTATTTCTTATATGGAAAAAGTGCATAAAACCATCAGAAAAGAATTATAAAAAATCAATTCGACTTTTTAGCAACTTCAAACTGTCACCTCATTGTAATAGATTTTAATATGCTATAAGACTCCATACCAAAAATTAATTTAGAAATTATAATTAAAATACTTGGAGTTGGGATGAAAAGCGTGTGCAATTTTGAAAATTTTGTACACAGTTTGAAATTTGACTTTTTAGAACTATGTGCCCTCCGTTAACCGGACACTCTAATGACCGGACGTGGACACTTAGTTTTTTAGTGGGTTTTTTGGTTTCATCACCTCGCATGTGGACGCGGATCTCTCAGAAACGCACAAAAATGGAAAATAAAAAACTGTGTAGCCCGGAGTGTCCGGTTATCAGAGTTTTCACTGTATTTATATAAATAAATATTTACATACTAATGTACTTACCCTTACATATGCAGTTCCAGCCGGTGCCACCTGCTGTGGTGGAGTGTGTGCTGCAGCTGTCGCGTAAACCGACAAAGAACGTACACGTGCCACATTTAATCATGTATTCCCAGCTGTTTATTCTGTATCTTTGTTTGACAGCTGTTGTTGTTGCTGCGCGACGCTAATCCTCAACACGCTACACTTAACAGAATAAAGCTTGGTTTGTATAAAAAATATTTGCGCTTGTCAATATGTATGTCTGTCAAACGCATCGGCAATTATTGGTTGTGCTTTTCTAAACTCGGCTGTAAGTGGGGCGTTTTTTGTTATTGATTGTCTTTTATTCTTTGGTGGTCAGCGAACAAAATCGATGTGTAGAGGTAAATATGTATGTTTGTAAGTACATTTGCATGCATAAATATTTAACTAAACAACCGCAAACAATAGCGGCCACAGTTATCCAGTTGTTAGAGGTGCGCAAAACCACCCAGCAGGACCCAGTTTCTACACCTGATCCGGCCACCATTAAGAAACGTTTTTTCTAACAGCGGTCGCCCCTAGGTAGGCAAAGGTAAAACTCTGACTGTACGAGTGAATATTTTACAGATTTTTTGGTTTTGTTTTTTAAATATATGTTTGTATAACCCAACGGGTACAGATTGTGAAACACCGTATTGGAAATGGCCTCCATTTGCTTTACAGCCGCATTGAAGGCGGCTTGGCCACTCATCGACAAATTTTCACTGATCGGGCCAGGGTGCTCTCCAAATACTCAAAACTTGAATGTCGAGCCATCGATTTTCTGCAAGATTTTGCCTTACGAGCTGGATCGGAAACTATCACGGAAGCTGGGTAGTGGCCGTCCGTATCAATATATTTTAGATTTCTTTTGATAGAGTGAGAGAGTGCAGTTTTTGTTACATATAACACCTAATTTATAGCCTTCGCGTTGGCGAGCTTTTAAAATTTAATATTCATAGGAAAAGAATTCTATCTGCTATTTGTTTGCTCACATTTCTTTGCTTTATTTCATTTACATAGTACATATTTTTGGTACAGTGTGTGATAAATAGTAAATATTATGCACTTTTAGTGACTACTAAATTTCCAGCTAAAACTAATAAAGCACATTTGGCTTTGAAACGAAAAGCTCAGCCGACTTTTAAACATATCCACTTGACTCCAACTTTGCGGCTGCTTCATAGGTGGGTAAGCCTGTCTGATCGATGATTTTGCTCATGTCGACACGTATTATACCACTATTGGCATTAATTGCGTCCAAAGTAGTGTCTTCGGGCATATTTGAGGCAACAGCCTCCATCGTATGGCTGTAGGATGTTACAAACTCATTAATTGATGCATCCTTTGGTCTGCTGGCAGCAATAACATCAGTAGAGACCTCATCCGTAATTGTCTGCCCATTTGCATTCTGATCGATCATCATTTCCTTTGACACTGCGTTCACTGCGTTGTTATTAGCGCTTGCTGTTACCTCGCTGCTGTTGTGATTGCCGTTGGCATCACTGTCAATTATTACAGTTGAAGACGATTCCAAAATGTCAACCGTGCACGCACACTTTTCCAATTCGTCTGTTGCCTCAACCATTACCGGTTCGGCAGCTGCCCCTTGGCGTCCCACACCGGTACCCTTTGTCCTATCATCCATCGCAGTTAGTTGCTGACATCTGTTCGCCAACCTCAGCTCGCTGCTGCTGCTTGCCACACAAATAGCGTCCTCTGCGGCTACTGCGATCTCTGTGGCAACCCGTTCCGCTCGTAAAGTTGTAGAGGTTGTGGGCACGTCCAGCCCACTTTCTACCGACAGCGTGAGCGCCTCATCTGCGTCGTAACGAAACTTGCCACAAAGTGGGCAACCGCGGCGATAGTAAGTGCTGTGATGTGGCAAGTAACGTCGTCCGCATGCTTTCGTTGTAAATTTCGCGGGCAACGTGAGTGGCAGTGGCAGCGATTTGCGTGCCAGCAACATACTAGGTGATATGTGGTTTCGGTTGCCGTTACTGCCACCGCTGTTGCTGCTGCTCCCGCCGGCTGCATTGCTGCCGGACAGGCTGGCGGCACCGCACGGCGA